CCTCATACCATACATACATATCAGCTTGTATCTGTATGAGTTTATTTCACCCCCAAGTCTATTTCAACTCAATAGATATTTTCCAACCATACGAGTCTATTTCATCCTCGATTTTGTTTCAACTCAATACGTGTTTTTCAACATAACGGGTCTATTTCACCCCCGATTCTGTTTCAAATCAATATGTGTTTTTCAACCGAACGGGTCTATTTCACCCTATCTCTATTTGACTTCACATACATATAACATACATGCACATCAACAAGAGTCACAAAGACAACAAGTACATAATAAACGAGTCTATTTCAATATTGGGTCTATTTCACCCACATACATAAGCATACAGTCATATCAGCCATAGTCACAAAGACTGATAGCTTCCTACATACACAATCTAATGGTTCGGCATTGGTGCCTTCGACCCACGAGTACAGTGAAGATACTCACATGTACTGCTCAACAGAAACCCAACAGCTACCTCAGCACCACAACAACCAACCTAAGCTTCCTAAAACTAAACCGAGACCAACCCTTGGTAAAATACTCAATTATACACAAGTTTGACCAAAAGTCAAACATGTCAAAAAGTCAACAGTCAAAGCTAAGGTCAAAATTGCCAACAACAACCCTCCATGTTGTGGCTTTCATTAGCCACGTCATGGGCACAAAATGCCAAAATAGTTGTTGATTCCCCAGTCGCCACACCATAGCAACCTAAGGCCACATCGTGGGGACTAGTCTAAACAACTCAAACGAGCTTAATCCATTTTCTTCTGATTTCAAGAGCTCTAAAGCTCATATATGATAATTTCCAAGGTCTTAATGGATAAATTTTTTAAGTCTTTCCATTAGGAAGATCTAAACCAACAAGATTTAGACTTTAAGTCTCAAAGGGACCAGACATACATCTTTCTTACCTTAAGCCATTATGTCAAAGTCTCCAACCTCTAGATCCAGATCAACCTGATGTTTGGATGGATAAAGCTTCAAACTTTATCCATAATAATGTCCCAAGTTTCGAAGATCTAAACTTTAATACATCAAAATGTGATAATGTGCCCCCTTGGGGTAAGACAAGAGTCATGACTAGCCACGCCAAATATATCACCAGACGGGTTGCACGACTGAGACCTTCCTAGCCGCGGTTGCCCTAGGAAAGCCTCGCGCCCACAGACGTCTAGTCAACACATGACACCCGTGCAGGAGCTATAAAATATATGTTTCCGAGAATAATAATGGGAAATGATTCGATGAGATGGATATATTAGGTTACATAATATTAGATAGACAATTTGAAATTTCTTATAAATTAAAAAAACAACGAAGTTGTTGTTATTTTATGTTCGATGGATGCATATTATACCAAAAAATATACAATACATCAGAATGTCATATTTTATGGTAAACATAACATTAAACAACCAATATTTCCATTTCCTCAACTTATTTAACGACTAAGGGTCAAAGTCAACAATGAAAGTATGTATGTTACAATGAGAAATGATCAAATTATCATTAAATTTTAGTTTAAGACATATTCGTAAATTATGGTAAAATAATGAGACTTTAATGAAACTAGGTAAGTAATAAAACCGGTAAATCGGGAAAAATGGGATCGGTAAACCGGGAAAAATTGAATCAAATCATCATTTTTTTTACCGATAATTCATGTTTTTTCGTAAACAAATTTTAATTTTAATTTTTTTTCGTAAATTAAGTAAAAACATATAATTTCTTTAAAGATTTTCCTATATTTTTTTACCTAAAAAAGAAAAAGAAAAAGCTAAATATCAACGGATTAACGAACAAAAGCAGAATCCGTATCCTTCTCCTTCCCTCTCACACAGCAAAGAGTGAAGAAGATGAGGGTCTTCCTCTGTAATTCATTGTCTTCTTCCCTCTTTCCACCACCCCCAACGCCCACTGTTCGCCGCCCTCAAAAACCCCTTCTAGCCACTCCTCAAAACCCGTCTTTCATCCGTTCATTAACTGGAGCCGCGCTCTCTTTCAACCTCCTCTTCTTCTCGCCTCTCTCTCCATTTCCTCCACCTTCAATCGCTTCGGATTTTACTTCTTCAGGTTCTCAATTGGAATGTCGCGAAGAAGATCAGCGAATTGAAGAGGAGAGAAGGCTCGAAAGGGCTCCTGAATTGGTCACAAATGAAGAGATTGTGAAGGAGGCTTGGCAGATTGTTAACGATAGCTTTCTTGACACTGGTCGAAATCGATGGTCACCTGAGGCTTGGCTTGTATGTATCTTATCCCTCTCTTTCACTTACTCAACGTGTCTTCGTGTTTATTTGAAAAATCTCTTTATTGTTATGTTTCTCTTATAGCAAAAGAAGGAAGACATTATTGGGACATCGCTCCAAACAAGATCTAAAGCTCACGATGTCATCCGCAGGATGTTATCTACCTTAGGCGACCCTTATACACGTTTTCTATCTCCTTCAGAGGTATTTGATATTTCATTCTCACAAACCTTCTTCTTCGCTTTCTATTAGATTACTCATTTTGCATAAACAATCCACCGATGGCTTGTATAATTGTTGTTTTCACTTACAAACGTTTCCAGTGTCTTATTCCATGGCATTTGTTCCTTTCCTCAATCTTCAAAGTTCTCAAAGATGGCAAGGTATGACATGTCTGGAATCGGAGTCAACCTCAGGGAAATTCCAGATGAAAACGGTGAAGTAAAACTCAAGGTTTTAGGGCTCATTTTAGATGGCCCTGCCCATGCCGCTGGCGTCAGACAAGGAGATGAACTATTATCTGTCAATGGAGTAAACTTAAAGGGCAAATCAGCATTTGAAGCTTTATCAATCTTGCAAGGTCCAAGTGACACATCTGTAAACATCACGGTAAGTAAGTAAACTCATGCATTATTCTACTATATCATATACTGTTTGTGATAAATGTTTATGATTTTTAGGTCAAACATGGAAATTGTGGTCCAATACAATCTGTAGATGTCCAGAGGCAACTTGTTGCCAAAACCCCTGTTTTTTATCGATTGGAACAAATGGATAATGGCAAGACTTCAGTTGGATACATGCGTCTGAAAGAGTTTAACGCACTTGCTAGAAAGGATTTGGTGACAGGTAAATCAACAATCAACAATGAACAGATAGATTCAATTTTCACCTTTTTTTTTTTGTTATTGTTGAGTAACTAACTTGAAGGAGAAATATCGACAGCAATGAAGAGACTTCAAGGGATGGGTGCCTCATTCTTCATTCTTGATCTTAGAGATAATCTTGGTGGATTAGTACAGGTAAACTTGCATAAATCTAATCAATTTTTTGTTTGTAAATGCTCTGATTGTATTGTTAAGGGAATTTCTTCTTTCAGGAGGGGATTGAAATTGCTAAATTGTTTCTAAATGAAGGGGAGACAGTAATATATACCGCTGGAAGAGAAACTCAGAATGTAAAAAGTATAGTAGCTGAAACAGCGCCTCTTATTACAACTCCTGTCATTGTAAGTTTTACCAACTTTAATAAACATTATTTATAAATCTGGAATTCTTGATTTATGTTCTTTTATTGCAGGTTTTGGTGAACAAAAATACTGCTAGTGCAAGTGAAATAGTGAGCTCTAATATTACCATATTATGTGTTTTCATTAAAGTAGTGATAAGAGTCTAATGAGTGATAGTTTGAATAGGTTGCTACTGCACTTCATGACAACTGTAGAGCCATTCTTGTTGGTGAAAAGACGTATGGAAAGGTCTGTATAACATTGTCATCAATTAAAAAAATGTTATTGTGGGTTTTTTTTTTTATTCATTAGTTAATGCGGATAACATTCTTGATTATTATTGTAGGGTTTGATTCAGTCTGTATTTGAACTTCATGATGGATCAGGGGTGGTGGTGACTGTTGGGAAATATGTCTCACCAAATCATTTGGACATAAATGGAAATGGAATTGATCCTGATTATAAAAAGTTACCAGGTATCTATCTATTTATCTGTTTATCTTATTAGCCAGACCTTTTTAACATTTACTCTTGCGATTTTCTTTCATTTAAGCTGTTTTGTTTTTGCAGCATGGAATGAAGTGGTTGAGCGTTTATCCAAGTGCCAAAAGCAACAATCTAAAGAGACTTGAATTATTTGGCCAAATGCGACATATAAATTTAGAAATATATGTGTATATATATGTGTGTGTATTTATTTGTGAAAAGGTTAATTTTACGCCGTATCCTCAAGAAACACCTTTTATAGGATGAGAATGTGGAAGTTATGCAATTTATGGAAGTTTGAAAGAATTTGGATGAAAGTGACTAAACTTTTATGCTGTATATAAAGTTAGAAGGTAGTCGAACCTTTTTCATCATTCTCTTATTTCCTATATTTGGAAAGAAACATGGCTCTGAGTGATGTGCTAGTTAAGCAAGTTATAATAAAATCGGATGGAGATGTTTTCCATGACTTATTTGGAAACAGACCATACCATATATCTGAAATGACACCCGATTTCATAAAAGGTGTTGATCTGCATCATGGTGAATGGGGTATTGTTGGATCCATTTCTGTGTGGAATTTTACACATGGTAAGCTTAATTCTTTACACCTTTGGAAATATATATATATATATATATATATATATATATATATATATATATATATATATATATATATATATATATAAACCTTATATTTTTCATATTCTAAACTGTAAGTATTTGTATTTTGTAATGTAATTTGCACTTACGTGGCAGACGTGAAGGAAAAAGTGGCTAAAGAGGTAATCGAAGAAATTGACAAAGAGAAAAAGTTAGTGCGTTATAAGGTGATAGGGGGTGATATATTGGAGGCTTACAAAAGCTTCTTAGTTACAATTCATGTGGACACCAAGGGAGAAGAGAACGTTGTGACGTGGACTTTCCACTATGAGAAGCTTAATGAGAGTGTTGATGATCCTAATAGTTTGATGGATTTATGCCTTCGTATCACCAAAGATATTGAGAACCATCACCTCGCCAAATCAAACTAAATCTTAAATGATTATTTATATAGTTTTAAGAATAAACGTCACTTGGCCATCTATGTTTATATGTTGTTAAAACGTATGATGATGCTCTATGATTGCTTGACGTCCATGTGGAATTGTTTGTTTCATTGGTAATTTACTCAACTAAGAATAATATTTGTAATATTGATGTGTAATTATATTTTTATTGTTAGTTCCATGTCTTCTATCATATACTTTATGTATTGATAGAATTTATAATGATGTTATGATTTAATATTCAACTAGGAAAAGGCCTAGTATGTTGCATGGGTTATTCTTTTTAGAAAAAAAAAAAAAAAAATGGTAGAAGAATATGATAGACGAGAATTACAAAGAATAAAGAAAATTGATTGAGTTTAACAATTTTTTAGAAAACATGTGACAAAAGTGAATGTTAAAAGTTCGAGTTGATAATAGAAGAAAAAAAAAGTATTAAATAGAATAATGTTGAAAAATAGGAGACAAAATTGTAAATGGATTAAAGAAACGGAACACATATGAGAAAAGTCACAACTCAATATTTTTAGAAAAAAAATAATAATAATAAATGATGAAATAGTACGGCAGGCGAAAATGATAAAGAATAAAGAAAAAATTGTTTTAGTAGCAAAATTATAAAAAAGTAAAAATAAAGTGATAAAATTAAAATAAAGAATAGAAGAATACGGTACACAAAAATGATAAAGAATAAAGAATAAAGAAAAAGAATTACAAATAAATAAAAGTGAAAGTTTAATGATAAAAATATAAAAAAATAAAAATAAAGTGAGAAAATTATAAAGATGAAAAGTTTGTTTAAACTTTAGTGGTAAAATTATAAAAAAGTATAAATAAAATGGTAAAATGATTTTAAAAAAAAAAAGCATATCCTTTAATATATATATATATATAATTGTACAAATGACATAAATGTAAGGCACCTTGTTGTTTTAGTCTATTAACAATTTTTATTTATATGAATTTTAAAAATAAAGAAGTAAACACTTAATCTACTTTGTTTATGTTATTATGGATGTAATACGAGTATCCAAAGCTAAGAGTGTAAGATAATGGATTGTTTGATTAATAATGAAGGTTAAACCTCATATAAATAGGGATACAAAAGGGACATAACCTAAACCTTAAGTGCCTTGAACTTAAACCCTAAACAGTAACATACCAACACCCCCCCCCCCCCCACACACACAGAGTTTGATCAAGAGAAGATGATTAAATTTGGAAAAAAAAAACATAAAACATAAAATATAGATGAAGATAAAAGGCATAAGAGGGAGGCTGACGGAGATCAAGAAGTGGACGCATCGGCGATAACAATGACGACGACAACGGTGGCGACTAGATCTTGAGGCAACGACAGTGGCGACGACTTTAGTGGTTAGAACTAGATGCAACAATGATGAGGAAGAGTTGAACAAATCCGACACTGTCAGACGTCAGAGAAGGCAACAGAGACTACGACTGTTGTTTATATGAGATAAGTTTTCTATAGGAGGAGAAGATCTAGAATTGAGATGAGACAAAATGGATGGGGAGGATACTTTTGGCGATTACTAGAGAAGGTCGTCAAAGATGGAGGGCGATGGCTGCGGGTTGTGGTCATCAATAAGGTTTTAACCTAGAGCTTTGATACTATGTAAGATAATGAATTGCTTAAATAATAATGATGGTTAAACCTCATATAAATAAGGGATATAAAAATAGCATAACCTAAACTCTAAACACATAAATGCTAACATAATCGTTTATCCTTCTCTATCCACCAATAAATAGGTTTAGGATATGAACAATTTTGAAGAACAAAAAGTATTTCTTCACCATATTGAAAGGTAATAGTTAATATAATGATGCTAGTTGGATATGGGTCTGTTTCTCATGATAGTAAGCATGCAAAAAACATTGAGTTTCTAAATGTAAGACTAGTTTGTTTTTTACATGGAGAAGTGAGCATCATAAAAACTCATAACACTTTGAACCAGAAGTAGGCGTTTTGAAAGAAAAGGAAAACAAAGTTTAAAGATAGAAATGGGGATGTTTGTGAGGGTGACTATTGGCAATTTAAATATATTACTTTCTCATATCCTAACTTTTTTTCCTCATATCCCAAACACACATGCCATCCAACCAAAACACAAACACACCTACACATAAAAACCCTTTTCGTCTAAACACAACGCCTATAGGGTGCGGGAAATACGATCAACATTTTATTATTTCCAAAATTGTGCTTTCACAAGCTTACTGCAAGGTTCTATGCAACTAACATTTCAAGTTTTTAATAAAATCCCTTGCAACAAAACCCAATTCAACAACCACCAGTTCAACAATACCTATTTCAACAACCACCTTATCAATAACGACCATTTAACAAACCTTTCAACCAAATTTATCCTAACAACCACCCATTCAATCATCCTCAAAGGGAAACCATATAGGAAACCCAACGATCCAAAGAACCAAATAATAAAAGGAATGAAAAAACAATCACAATACCAAAAGATCCTAAAAATTAGACCCAAGACGAAATTGGGTAACCATCTCCAAGGATGAATGTCAGAGGAACAACCAAAGTGCCACTAGTAAAGTTACCAAAAAAATAATTATCGCCTTTTTCATTACATATTCATATCAATATAACACGAAAAATACTTTTAGATCATATCAATATATAATAATTTTAATTTTACTTTGTTTTCTAACTTATATGAAAAGATACATTGTACATTATATAAATTATAAAATAGTAAACATTTCAGTTTATTGATTGAGTATTCACATCAATATAACGCGAATATCATGCAAAAAACATCATAACCTAGTATCATTTCAATACACATCCCAATAACGTTACCTAAAAACATAACAATTTATCACATTCTTCAACACATATCCTAATAACGTTACCAAAAAAAACATAACTTAAAATCTTTGGATACATCCTAATCGAAGATACCAAAAAATTACAAATCCAAAATATCAATCAATATCTAATAAACATCCCAATTGATAATATTGCTCTTCCAAAATGTATTCGACCCAATCCTCTCTATCACCTTCTTCAGTTCCCCCAAAAAATTATATGTTAATGGGACCACTTTTTATCTTGGTCAAAGCATAAAAAATTATATATATATATATATATATATATATATATATATATATATATATATATATATATATATATATATATATATACACATGTGAATTGTAATCATGTTTCTCATAATGCAATATACACAACATGTGAATTATATATATATATAATTATATATATATATATATATATATATATATATATATATATATATATATACACATGTGAATTGTAATCATGTTTCTCATAATGCAATATACACAACATTCCAATTTGTTTGTCTTGGTATCATAGCATAGTTGCTGCTAACCCTAGCTGCCGCCAAACCTTCTCTGGTCTTCATCTTCTTTATTTGCTAACAATGGCATTAATTGCTGCTTTCACAACTGCTGAGAAAACCTCTCATAATTCCTATAAGTTTGGTTTTACTCTCTCTCCAACAGGCTAAGGCTTTTGGAAAACAATGATTCATCCTAATATTGTCACAAACAACCTAATTGGTTATGTTGATGGTACCGTCTCTTTCTTATCACCACTGATTGAACAAGCAACATCATCAAACAAAGATGCTCCCATAAAACCCCATTCGAACCGTAACTATGCGATATGGGTCACCAATGATGCTCACGTAAGAATGCTAATCATCTCTATAATTTTAGAGGCTGCTTTTCCTCATATTCAAGGTACTACTACATCTCATGACGTTTGGTTATCCTTAGAACGTGAATACACTCTACATACATCTTACAGTGAATATACCCTAAAAACACAATTGCTAAAGATTCAGATGAATGGGGACGAAACATCTCTGCATATCTCAATCGGGCGAAAGGGTATGTTGATACTTTGGCTAATATTGGCGAATCTTTTAAATAAAAAAAATAATACCATGCTTGTGATTGCATGTCTTCGTAATGACTATAATGGTTTGAAATATACTCTCCTTGCTCGACATGTTCCCACAACATTCAATGATTTGCATGGACTTCTTTCAGATCATGATTACATGATAAAACAATCAGTTCATGTTATCCCAACACCACAGGTTGTTCATGTTGTTGCCATAGGAACATCTCATCAACCACTTATGTTGTAAATAAAGTTTCCAGTTCATGCATTTGTCAACTGCAAATCAATAGTCCACTGTGAAAAAGAATTCTATGATATCTTCAGGGGAAATCTGATTATGGGATTCTCATCAAACATGACTCAGGGTCTATTCTTCATGCCTATACTGACTCCTATGACTCATCTTTGCATGCTTTCTTGGATGCAGGGTGGGTTGGTAGTCTCGATGACCGTCGATCCACAGGGGGGATATGTCATCTATCTTTGAAACAATCTTATCTTGTGGTCAGCTCAAAAACAACAAACTATATCTCGATTATCAATAGAATCCGAGTACAAAGCTTTAGCTGACACTGTTACTGAACTCACCTGGCTTGAAGCTATTTTTAGATAGCTAAAGGTTCTAATGGAATCAATTCTGATTTTATCGTGTGACAACTTGGGTGCCACATATTTATCACCTAATCTTGTCTTTCATGCCCGTACAAAACATGTTGAGGTTGATTTTCACTTTGTCAGAGAAAAAGTTGTTGGAGGGAAACTCTCTGTTCAGTTTATTTCCACTCATGATCAGATGGTAGACATCTTTACAAAGCCTTTATCTTCTTAATGATTTGTTGATTTACGTTCCAAGTTGCAGGTCGTTACCCAACCGTAGCTTGCGGGGGAATATTAGACAATTTATAATATATATATATATATATACACACACACACACACACAATCCGTTTACCCGCGCCAAGCGACGGGTGTGACAATGATGGTTGAATGCTGAAAGATAAATTAAACCCTAGAAATGGAAACGTCAGCGATATATATCCAA